TTCAGTAGTGTATGTAAGAGCATTTCACATGTGTTTGTGAGAGGTAATTCTGAATAATGTCCCTGACGGCCCCTCATAGTTATTGCACACTGACTCAGTTGTACAATCCACAGCACAGGGCCTGCATAACTGGAACTTCAAACATATTGAGTGCTTAACACAAATAACAATACACAGTTATGTGTACAAACAATCATTCCCTCAAGCGAAAAAGCATTCTTGGATCTAGGCCATTGTAGTTGAAGTTTAGTTGAATATTTAGAATAAGGTTTGTTTGCGTGTCTTGGATACAGCAATATGACCAGTCTGTGTTCTGCAGCAGGGAGGAGCCCTCAACACTGGTAAGGGGGCTCTCAATGGGATGCAGCAGCCATCACCAGTGGGGGCACTGTGCCCTGTGTGTACTGTCACTGATTCCACCCCCTCAGTACCCCCCTAATAGGGCCCCCGCCAGGTGATCTGGACGTGAACAGGCACAGCACCGGGAGTTTTAAAAGCTGGCATCCTGTCTGCTGTTTCCTTACAATAAATTTATAAAAAACTCTTCGTCAACAGTTCTCAAACCCTCCATGTCTGACAGAGTCCTGAAAGCAACTGTGGTGGTGGTGGTGGTGATAATGATGATGATGATGATGATGAAGATGACTTGTCGTGTTTAAACGTGTTGGAGTTTGTGGACATTTCATACAGACTGCAGTGGATTCCGACAGACAGCTGCTGGGTTGTTTCATATTCATTATTTGTGATGACAGGCTGCTGTAGATGCTGACTATCTGCTCAAAAGTAGCGTTGTTTGTTGCTGCTTGTGTTGTTGGCCGCAGTGTCTGCTGGTTATTGTAGTAATAGCAGGCACACATTGCTTGAAGCCCAGTTTGTTGTCGTGTGTGTGTTGGTTATGTGGCTGTACTGTGTAGGCTGGATAGCTGTGTGTGGCTGTATGAGCATCCATCATTACTGAATATATCACATGCTGAATGCTGATTTAATCAAAAGAAATATTATGAGCCTAGCTCTGATCATGCAAATAACATCAGAAGTTGTAATTCTTCAGTATCAGCAGGTCGCTGTTTAATGATAAATCCATGGCACTGTAATCCACATTTCTCCTTCTTTCCTTACAGCCTGTAGGTTGTCTCTCTGGCTTTCTCATTAGCAATTCAAGGGCCCACTACAGGTACTCGTCCCCTCTTGCAGTGAGACATCTGCTAGGGCAAGGTTTCTAGCATTGTTTAGATTCTTGTTTTTTGGTTAGCTGTCTTAAAGCAACAACCTTGGATATTGTGTTAACATGTGTTATGCCTGTGGACTTTCCAATTACTCAACAGTAACAACAAAGACATTTTTGTTATTTCCAGACATGTTTTAATGTAGCTGCTGGTGATACTTTCCAGAGCCACATGAGCAATATACTGATTTCTTTATTGTCTAAAAGTGGCTGAGCACACAAAAAAACATCCTTTCTCTCTTTTCTCTTTTCATTTGATTAGCTGATTATTGTGGTTATCTTTATTAAAACACTATGTATGCAGTATATTTTAATCTTTTCGGAGGCTTGCTTGCTCGCTTGTTATAAAGCTTCTTATAATTATCAATATATACAAAATTCTTCTTGAAATTATGCTAAGTGAAAAAGAAAGTACCATTTGTTTAAGCTACTGTCCAAAGCGTAGTATTAGCTAGCAGAGGAGGTGTAGTAGTTATGGTTTTAAATTACATTGACTGACAATTAGGAGAAAATGTGTTGCTGACTGGTGCCAAGGCTCAGATTCTTACTGGAATAGCTGTGAAACCTGCAGAGCAAGTACTTCAGCCATGATGCTGATTGGATTCTTTTTGCTACGCGTCAATGCCACTGTGTACATTTCTGCCGCTATGGAGTCTGTTGCTGAGTTTGACCAACACAATAGGGGATGAAATAGGGGTTGGGTGTCCTGCCTAAGGGCATTTTATGGACACAAAGCAGATTAGGGGTTAAATTCGCAGCCTACTTGCCACAGGACCAACTGTCTAACTTCTAAACCACATGCAGGTGTGATGCAGTTATTGTACTGAATATGCAACCACTTACAGATAACACAGCCACAGGTGTTACTTGTATCTGAAACTTCACACGCAAAAAAAACGAAATTTAGAAATGTCACTGTATTATTAATCTTATTGTTTTCATCTTTTTCAGTCTGGTTTCACTTTTGATTATTCACTTCAGTCTTTCGCAGTATCAACAATCTGATCTGGATTACATATTAGCTTACATTAAAACTAAAGTTATATAAATTAACCCAGCTCAACTTTATTTATATAGGACCTTTCATACAAACATACAGCCCAAAGTTCTTCACATAACTTCACAAACTTTACAAACTTAAACAACACACGAATACACAAATGAACAACAATAAATGAAACTTTGCTGACAATTTATACAAAAGACACAATAAAATGTAAAACATAAAAAAGTAAAATTGACACAGGGAGACAAATAATGTAAAAAAAAAAGTGACAGTGACTCAGAACCTAAAAATGAAGTCTATAGCATATCTTAAATTAAAAGCCAGTTTTAACAGATAGGTCTTCAATTTCCTAGTGACAAAAGTAAGCAATTTAAATTGCTTACTTTCCTAGCAAAGTAATTTTCCCCAGCAATGGGATTACTTTGATATTGGATGCTATAATTACTATTGGATGACCTCTGGCATTTAAAATAATATTAAACAAAAGAATTATCTTTAATTACATAATATTACATTAATTTGACACTAGAGACAGTGTTGCCTTCATGGCATCATTAGTGAAGAGAGATTATTCAATAATTCAAATAATTTGAGTTATAGAAATCTTCCCTTATACTGAAGTCTATGGCCTCTGTTAAGAGGTCTAGGTGGTCCAGATGCCAGTCCGTGTGCCAGCGCCTCTGCAGCTCTGCACCATCTGCAGCACTTAAAGTGTACATAGAGCAACTTGCGTTCTCGTCATCATGTTAGTAGCCATCATTGTGCACACCAAAAGGCCACTCTTGAAGTTGAAAGCAGGAACTTGATGTCTATTTGAAAAAACTTTAACAGAGGCTGCACGTCGCCATCGCACAGCTTCCTCGTTCTTCTGGACTTAAAAAACCTGTTGGCTATCCATTAAAGTTAGCTACTTGGTGTGTTTTTGAAAGGGGTGGAAAAGGAAATGATTGGTATCGGGGTACAATTGAATGAACCAAGTGAGGCTTGTACATATTTGTGATAGTTTGCTGCGAGAACCATACAGAAAGTCTTTGACCTGCCTGTGACTCACCAAGTCCTAGGCTGTTTGTCCATGCCCTCGATACATAAAAGCCTTTTCTGAACTGTACTGTGAAAAAAAAATACGTAGTAAATGTACTTGATCAAGAATGTTTCTGTAACTTACAGTTAGTGTCACTTAAAATTGCTAAAAGCTGCTTATTGCATTACAGTAAGTGGAGTGGTGCTTCACAAAAGACAGTGGTGATACAATCAAATGTTACCAATGCAGAAATGCTAGTTTCTGTTGATATTGTCAGTTCAATTCAATTCAATTTCAATNNCGTTTTTTTCTAAGTTTAACATCATATTGTCACAAAACAAACAAACCATAAACAAACTGAGTGGAGGAGCAGCTGGAGACACAGCGACAGGTACAACTCACCGTCCCTGTGTGTGTTTCAGGAGAAGGACGAGGTCAACAGTCTAAACAAATACAGTCACAATTTCTTTGGGGTCTATTGTACCTGCAGCCGGCCTTACCCAGACCCAGACGACCAGGTGAGACCCTGCAGCTGACCCTCACCTGTCCACCAGGTGTGTGCTGGTTCCTTCATTAACTGTCTGTTTTGTGTCCAGGTGGAGGATGAGATGATTCAGTGTGTGGTGTGTGAGGACTGGTTGCACGGCAGGGTGAGTCCAACACTCACGACCACTTACTGCTCTGTACGTGCCACATTCACTTATTCATTCACTCATTCGCTGATGGCAGCGGCTCATCAGAACAGAAACTAATCGCTCATTCATTCATTCACACACACACCAATCCAGGAGCAATTTAGGGTTTAGTATTTTGCTCAAGGACACTTCGACATGCAGCAAGAGGAGTCGGGTATCGAACCACCAACCTTCTGATTAGTCAGATCAGTCCGATCAGCTGCCCAGCTCCTAACAGTACCGGTGCAGGAAGACGGTGAATGAATGAAGCTGTTGTAGCGCCCCCTGCTGGCCGACACTGAAGCTGTTTGTGTTTACAGCACCTGGGCTGTTTGGTTCCAGACTGTGTGGAGCTGCAAGAGATGATCTGTGAATCCTGTATGAACAAAAACCCTTTCCTCTGGACCTACGCTGCTCACCTGGCAGGTACATCCTTTTGTTCACCTCACACCGCTCACTGATACTAGCATCAGTACCCAGTGGCATCATGTACTTCCTGTGGGTGTGATTCAATTTGTAATTTCAATAAAGCGTCAATTCATAACAGAAGTTATCTAAGGACACTTTTCAAATAGAGCAGGTCTAGACCGAACTACATCCGTGTTGACACTAAAACAAACACTAAAACAATACTGACAATGTAAGAAAGTGTGTCAAAATCCTCACCTGGTGCACTAACATTATTTCTGCCGGTTTATTTGAGTGTTTAAATTCTCGGTCTAAATTTTGTGCACCATACTGTATACTGACAAATGTATGACCATCCTGCATGCAATGTTTCACCATTAAACAGATGGGAAGATGCACCTTTAAGCCTGTCAGTGGAGACACAAAATGATACTAACTGACTGAAATCTGGAGGAAACTGTGAGTGTCAGCTATAAATATATAAGAGAATACTGAATAAATATGCTGAGCATTCTTCTCCAGACTGCATGTAATTTAGATGAGCGTGTTTGCAATGTATTGTTGAGATTTGGGAGGAGTGCTGTCTGTTTAGTGTTGTGTGTTTAAAGAGTCTTGCTTAAGGGCACTTGGCTTTGTTTGTTTCCCAGCAGCTTTAATATCATTAGGTGTCATTTCATGTACAAGTTAGTGACTGCTTGGCTATACTTAAATCACTTCTAGATTCACAAGATTCAAATGAAAATGTACTTTCTGTTAATTTAGTTAATAAAGAATTACACTGCCTACAGAATAAAAGTGAGTCACCTGTGCATTAATTGGCAGTCTGGTCTGCTGCACCTGGATTTATCTGGATTTAAATGTAGCTGCCACTGTGTTGAACACTGATTCATGGTCTCCCAGGTACTCCCTGTTATCATCTTACATTTCAGACAAGGAAGCTGAGGGAATAACTAAACCTGTTGAACCACTGCCAGCAGTGTGTGTCCCTTACTATGTTTCAGGAAGTTTTTCACACTGCGTGTTTCCCATAGTTGCACTTACAGGTTGACACAGAGCATAGAGGCTTATGCTCTGCGGGCTTCTATGATGAATACAGATTGAACACTTAGAGCAGAAGAGAGATGAAAACAGAGTTATGGTAAGAAAATTGTCTGATTTACATTCTGTGAAAATGCTTATTTGTTGGGACTTTATTGGAAAGGTTTTTTAGAGTTGGTGTTTTTTAGGAATGGGCTCACTGACAGAGCTGGTTGTTTACAGTGTGAGCTCCTTTCTGATTTTTCTATAGTACCTTTCAAGCAATCCACAGTTTTGTAAATATTTGTGTGTTACTGTGTGAAAGGATTGAGATAACAGTGAAATGATTTTCCCTGATTGTCAGTTGGTTTGCTTTGGCTCATCCACATCTCTGTTGCATTAGGTTGCAGTGTGTTTTCTGTGAAATTATTGTATATGGTTGGGCTTAGTGTTGCCAATACTTTTGTGGACTGACAAGAACAAAACTAATAATAGACTGTTATTCTTCGACATTAAAGTGGGTCAAAAGACATCTTCATGTGTTAGAATATACTTTGATACGTTAGATTTCAGCAGTTTGACTTTAATGTTTAACATTAACTATTAACTGGTTTCTCACAGTTTAGTCCAGTCTGCCATTGCTGTTTCCATTTGCATTGTAGTAGCACTTGGCTTTCCAGTACTTGGCTGATTCTCAAGTGTAATTAGTACAAAAACAGTAAAACAGAGTAAAATATTACAGTGTTACTGTAAAACAGTGAATATAAATGTAAAGGTACAAAACTCCAAACTCAATGATACAATTTACTGCACTGTAAAAAAAGAAGAAGAAAAAACTACTTTCAAGGGCAACTGTCTTCATTACTCTTCTTCTTTAAAGAAAAATTATTAATCTTGAAGTTTTAGGGGGGGGGGAACGGTTAATAATTTTAGTTGCAACTATTTAATTTTCAAGTACCAAAATAATGAATCTGGTTTACAGCTCACTGAACAACAAATTAAGAGTTTTTGTTTCAAAAGTTTGACTAAAAAAGAAGTGAAGAGGAAATTGTGCGTTCTCTCAACTTTTCCATTTTACAGTGTGATATTGCTGATCAAACTGTAATCATACATTCTTTATGAAATATATGTGCATATGATTGTATAGAAAAATGTATGTATGATAAATGATGAGAAAAATATGATTATAATAATTATAATATTAACACCAGTTAAATATTCTTTAAAACTCCCAATTTCTAAATCACCAACATTACTAAAAAATGACTAATTATCACAGCATTAGACAGTGCTGTATGATTTTACAAAGTGTTTCTGTATCCATATCTGTCATCACTGAATGATAACAAGTGCTTCAAATCTATGAATGAGAAACAGCATAACCTTTGTATTCTCAGGCACTGCACTTATCGGTTTTTAAACCTTTATTGTAAATATGTTTTAATCTGCACTTTGAAGCACTTTGACTGATGCTATGGGAATACATTTATGTATTAATTATTGTTACCTGTTTAGAGATCAGGGATCTATATTTTTCAAGGGAAACTTGGCAACAAATGCAGCAAAGAAAGAACAAAGAACTTCAAACAAGTCTGCTTAAAGCAATACTCCAAACACAGAGGATGGAAAGAGCAAGGGAAAATAATGTTTCATATCCAAATACTAACATTCAGAATCATATAAAAGACCAAGTAAAGAAACCAGCTAAGACCAAAACAACATAATTCACCTAGAATTCTAGAGAAACATTCATGGGGTGGCCAGAGAGTGCACTGCAAACTTTAAGGGGTGGCAGAAATATATGCTGATTTAATCACAAATAATCGGCATAAAAAACTATCTCAAAAACATGATTGTGGCACATTAGTAAAGTATTGAATAGCCCTAGCTAAACAAAGAAGCTTGTAGTATGATTCAGGTGTTTCACCTCTCCCATAATCATAAATTAATCTACCTGGAAAGGAAGGAATCTCTGTGTGTTTGTCTTCCCTTCGGATTCGGCACAATTTGGCAAGATGATGGTGCTGTAGCAATGAACTTTACGTTTTTGGCTTATAACCTTTGGACCATAAGTCAGAAAAACTTTTTTGTTGATTCTGTGGGACCAGACAACTCTATGGATATAAGCCACACCCTAGATACCTCACCTCATCGATATCACTGATAATGGGTAGAAGATTAACAATGATGTTCTGTGTAGTTTTAATCACCTGCTGCTGAGTCCTTCTGTCCTGGGCCATGCACAAACCATGCCAATTTGCACTGTTATCAGTCAGGATGTTTGCTATCGTTTCAAGAACTTTTCACAGGAATTTTGCTTTGATAAGTTTCCTTAAGAAATATATAGATGTGAGTTGATCATGAGGTTCTCTGTGATGAGAACTAGATGTCCATTCTTGGTTGTCTCTTTTATATTGCTGACATTTTCTTTATAGACACCTTTGAATTACATTTTCATTTACAGAATGCATTATTGTAACTATTTCTTATATGGAAAGTAGCCTGTCTTTGGTTCTCTATATTCCAAATGTGTTTTATCTATTTTTAAGGTTCTAGATATAGTTGACATTTATATTGTGCTGTATACTATGCCCATAATACATAGACTCTTTTAAAAGTAGCTACATAATTTTAGCTGGAAAACGAAGTTAACTAACACAAATTAAAAAATTAAGTTTATGACATTATGCAATTGTCTGATAACCTTTTACTGCATATTATCAGCTTGGGGTGCCTGTCTCAGGGACAAATGACTAAATACATTTCAGTAATGATAACAGAGAAATGGAGGTTGCTGTGATATCATAACAGAGGTTCTTTTTTCCAGACCAATCAGATCATTATATAATGTGATAACAGTTCCTTTGTAAAGTGCTGCACCTGTGAACCAACTGGTGTTTCCACACACTCCCATTAATGTACTAACTGGCATGACAATGCTGACAGTCAACATCATGCCTCTGTGCTGTGTTAAATCACAGCACTATGGGTCTAAGTGCACACTTGGGCCAAACAAACAAGCACATGAAATGGTGCATGCCATTGGACACACACATGATTAGATGTACTCTCCTTATGATATTTTGAAGTGTCTTCGCTCATTTCTCACTAACTTCCAATTCCGAACAGGTCTCCATTCTGGCATTTTAAACATGATTCTTCTGGTGTGCCATCCAGCAACACTCGTTGATTTACAGCCAGCACTATGTGGACTCTTCTCTGTTACAGTTAAAGATACCTTGAAGAAAACAAGGCATTGAAGGTGTGTATACTGGAAAACAAGGGTTGTGTTCATTGTCTCTAAATAAGAAATATGGATCAGGGTTGGTGAGGTTCAACTTTCCTAGTTGGAAATCCAACTTCAGGGGGCGTTCCAGTCAAAATTTTCAACTGAGAAAGTACAAGAATAGAAAGGAGGGGGTCTAGTTAGCGTTACCCGACTCTCTTTCATCTCTGGTGACCAATAACAAGACTGTCAGGATTAGCAGGTAGTGCTGTCCCCTTAGCACTCCATATCTCACCTTAAGATTTGAATCACAAAGCGACAAAGCAGCAGCAATGTGATACAAGGAACTATTTTACTGTAAGTCTGCCAACACAGATATTTCTTAAAATATGGACCAGGCCCAAAGCCATGAGAATTTAATGACAAAGCTGGTAAATAGATGAATAGCAATGATGGATAATTGTTGGGACAATTATTAAGGTTAATTTAATGTTTTTTCTGTCCTCCTCTATCTTTATTGAAAGGAATGGCAATATCTAAGAATGGCTTGACCATCTTTGCCCTTCTAGTGACACTGATTATTTTGGAAACAGAGAACATCATTGAATTTTCAAGTCCCGCTTTACCGGTAGGTCCACTGTATTTACGATACTCAACAGAAAATATGGGATGACTGATGACGGGTTTCAATATAAACATTAAGCAATTACTTAAACCTGATCTGTTTTTTTGTCTCAGGTACACTATGATGAAGCACACTTTCTACCTCACACCAGGGAGAAAAGGAGTGGTTAGTCTGGAAATTATATGAAATGAATACATTTGGGAAATACACTTATTCGCTTTCTCACTGAGAGTGAGACCTTCTGAAAGAAGGTGATGAGTATAATACCTCGTACATGTCTGGTTGTCAAAAACTAACATTGTTTATTTTCTCATTTGCAGTGCTTACAGACAAATGGAATTACATCCTTGATGTTGTAGTGAATACCTCTAGTGCACAAACATTCGAGCAGATTCGGTTTGCTTTGAATGCAACTAGTCTTCCTATACAACTTGATAACAATACAGAGATCACTGATGTTGTCGTCACAACAGGTGAGCAGCATTTCTTGACCGTCTTTGACAAACTTATTAACAACTATATTACCAAGGATGACAGCATATAATTACTATTCTTCTCCTCTGACAGTGTGTTCACCAACTGGCTCTGGCTTCCAGTGTAGATGTGAGGAACAATTTGCTTGGCCGTACAGCAGCTGTGTCTTGTACAGAGCCTGTGATTCCATATCCAGTGGCATCTGTAAATGCATCAATGCCATTCCAGCTAACGGCCAGTCCTGCCAGCCAATATCAGGTAATCAAGTCGTATTTCTTTATTAAATCTAATCACAATGACTTCAGAGGTATTCTAATCACAATTCAATTCAGTGCATTCCAATGATTGGAAACATATGCAGTTGGAATGCACTGAATTGAATTGTACAAACTATTCATCCTCCACAGAGTTAAAGCAGCTAAAATCATTTTTCAGCACAGTTATCACCTGTCTCTCAACTCTACAGACTGCTATAATGTCTTTCAGCTTATTGTTTTGGTTTCGGGGCCTGCACTGTTTGGATTCAGCCTTGTTTCCAGATGTAGCAGGCAGCCAATAAACCCACTGTGCTCTACCTGTCCAGAACTTAACAAAGTTAGCAACTAGCTGGTGAACAAAGTGGCGAAATTAGCAGCTGAAGAGGCAGTTTTTTTCTCAAAAAAACACAGCTTAAAGGAGAGTAAATATTGTGAGAAAATCTGTCATTGCAGTTTTAAAAATGCTATTCCTAGCAGAACACACACACACAACATGTCGGTAAAAGTGACAAAAATATACGTAAATATATAGAAATGATATAAACATACAAATAAATGTTTATGTGGAGGTTTTTAATGACACGGCACAGGTGGCCCAACCAACAAGTAATTGTCACTACTGCAGCAAAAAAGGCATGATCCTTAACTGGCTTCCCACCCCAACTTCTGCAGGAAGTCGAACTTGTTTTCCGTAAAATTAATATTTATATTCCAATGAATTGTTTTACAGAGCTGCTATCTGAGGTTGAGTACACAGTGGATGTGGAACTGAATGTTACAGATGTCGAGACAATTAACTATCTTAGGAACATCTTGAGCAACGGCAGCTATTCCCTGGCCTTGGGTCCCATTGTGAATGTAACAGACATTGACATTACCACAGGTAAGAATGGAGCTTCTTCTGTTTTGAAAACCATAGATGCTAATATTGTGAATCACAGCACGGGGAGCCAAGTGTAGTAAAGTGCGCCGTGATTAATTCCATCATATATGTCCTGGTGATTTTCTTTGTATGTTGCTATTTTCTTTCATGAAAACCTTTCCCATATTGGAGCTAGTATTACAGGGTCTTGAAAGAATGCTTCTAGCCAGTCACCTTCTTTGCACCAATGCACAATCAAGCTATTACTGTGCAATTTCTCACCTATTAACTGAATATCTGGAGAAAGTAACACGGTAGTTAAACTTATGCACCTGTTCTCTTGATATTGAAGTGTTCAAGTAGGTCTTTCATTTTCTTTTAATGTTTAATGCATCCATTTGAAAAAGCTCCAGCACCATGTGTTAGACAAGGACTACAGCTGTTGTTTTAGGAGAGGAAAGAAGAAAAGACAAAATTCTGATTAATTAAGAATTAATGTAAATTTTTTGGACTTGGACTTTTTGTGAAATAATGGATACTTTTACCTCTTTGAGCCTCAAACAGTTATTTAAATAATACCATCTGGGAAGTTAGAGGAGAAAATTTCACTTTGGTGGAACTGCTAACCACTCATACACATACACAAAACATAACCAGAGGAACCCATGTATATAGTTATGGGCCAGCCAAAATGTTAAATTTTCCAATATCATAATAATCGTGAATCTGGACCTGCATCTTTACAGTCATTACAAAATCCGTCACTGTGGCTGTATCGCAATCATTTATATACATTTTTATATCGTCCCATGCCGAGGGGACACACAGTTCTACAGTACGTGAAGTGGAAGTATAAAGTAACATAAAATGGAAAGTACAAGTACCTCAAATTTATACTTAAGCACACTACTTCTAAATAGTTACTTTCCACCACTGGTTCAGCTATTGTCACACATAATTTTAAACCATGCTAGTTGAGCACATATAAGATAATATATGACCACAACATTACAGTGTTGGCTTTAAACTTGGACATTCACACATTATTTGGTTGTTTTTTTTGTCTTTCTTGTCCAACACATTAAATCTGGAATGAAGAGTTCCCATGCGGTTAAGGTGCTAGGTGGTAGGAATTATGGTCATTGTCTTGCTGTATGTTTGAATAGCTTTAAAGATAATCAGCACTTGAACTCAGTCACTGTTTCAATTGAAATCTGGCGAGCTGGAATAAAAAACCAACAGAATACAAAATGAGTCTCTGTCGAAATAGTGTGTCAACAGAAACATTCTTCCTGGGCTTAACAGACAGGGCAAAAGCAAGCGCTGTGTACACATGCACAAGTTAAACTTCAACGAGAAACAATTTAAAATCCTGCAGTCTCTGGGCAGCATAGGGGACCTTACTCTACCTAGTGACTGCAGAGACCTAATGATAGCCTATCAATGATTAATCTAATAATTTAATAAAATATATAAATAATAGTTTCATTTTACTCATTGTTCTCAACCAAGTGTGCAATAGGCTGTGAAAGAATAAGTGTGTAACATTTAAACACAAAATGGAATTTAATATTCATAGAGGTCCCATATAGGTTCCATGGAGGTCCCATGTGGACTACTGTACACCAAACACAGACCCTAGATAGGGCCTTTCTCGTTTTTCATGCTTTTCGCAGCCGCTGTAGTTTTCCTTTACGCTTGGAAGAGGAGGTTGATGTGACAGAGTTGCAGTCTGCCTCCACTAAATCATACACACTGGACCTTTTAGAGCTGCAGTGGGTAACTTTATCATTAACCAATCAGAGCCAAGAATTGGTTGTTGAGTCTCATTCCCAGGGAGTCAAATACAGACCCTTTGGGACCCTGGGAAAAAGACTCAACAACCAACTATCTTCAAGCCATCAACCAAAGGCACCTTTAAATCTTTCTCGGCTCTGATTGGTTCTTGTAAAATGCCATTAGGAGCACTAGAAGGAGCCAGAGGAACCAGTATTTTTCACAGATTATCTGTCTCATGTTATACTGTCAGAACAAAGTGAACATTTCAGCAAATATAACAAAAAATAATTAATACTAAAAATTACCTACTTCAGCTATAAACTACTATGTTTTTTATCGCATTTAATCACAGATTAGTTTGCTTTCTCACTTGTGTATCTTATCTTTGTTGTTATTGTTTAGTGTGTTACCCAAATGACACCAACTTCCAGTGCAGATGTGAGGATCAGCACGTTTGGTCATATAGAAACTGTATTACATACGGAGCCTGTGATGAGATCGCTGATAACACGTGTAGGTGTATCAATGGTATTCCATCTGATGGGCAGTACTGCCAGCCAAAAGAAGGTGATGGAAACTTATTTTATTATTATTATCAACTGTGTACTTGGTGTTTCCATTCTATATAGAAAACACATCATCTTTAAGTATTGTAATAACATTTTTGGGGGTTTTATTTTTTTTCTCATTAGAAGCTGTCCAGCTGTATGAATACGTAATTGAGGTCGAAATCAGAATCAGTGACATCGCACTGATAGAGCAACTAAGGGACAATTTGGAGAACATCAGTTTCCCTGTTAGAGTTAGCAACACAATCAACATCACACAAATTGATATAATATTTACAGGTAAGAACAATCTGTATGTAAAAGAATAACTGATGAAAAAAAATCATGCCATGACATTTTAATGCTTTTTGACCTAATATTCTACTTTACATAGGCCTAATGTAGGACCACATATATGAGGAAATCTAAACAAAAAATATGTATAATATAAAAAAAGATAATCACTGGCATTCAGAGCTTTCAACTGCCTCTCATAGTAATTTTAGGTGTCATCACATGACATAATGACAAAATTGTTTCGAATTACACCCTCTTTTTCAACAGTACCTTCAGTTGTCTATGAATATGAGATTTTCATTGAGGTGAACACTACAGACCCAGATCAACTGAGAAACTTTGTGGATATTCACACTTTCCCTGTCCAAGTCAGCTCCCAAATAAACATCTCAGCTGCTGATATCACTACAGGTAAGAACAAATGATTAAAATGTGTTGTAGTATCTATCTTAATAAACATTTAACTTTTTTTTAAAGAAAAAATGTGGTTCCTTTTGAAGTTTGCAGCAAAGATGGCAATGAGTTCCAGTGCCGCTGTGAGGATGACTACCTTTGGCCTTGTGACAAATGTGCCACCCATGGAAAATGTGATGGTGATGCAAACAACTCCTGTGCGTGCATTAAAGCTATTCCCACAGATGGACAGTATTGTCAGTCAATACACCAACAAAGTGAGTGCACACACTAATCCCAGTTTTATTGCCCAAAAATTATGTTTTTAAAACATTTTAAAGACATGTTCCAATGTTGAAACTGGTGGTTTTATTGCTTATTTTGAGAGATAATATTTCCACATCTTCTCACCGATAAATCTTTGTTTCTATCTATAGACTTTTCAGTGTGCCCTCTGACAACCGCCTCACCATCAACAGGTAGATGCAATCTTGTTTACCTGTGATCGTTTTGATTCGATTTTTCTTTTCTCTTAATGTATTAAAACAAAGAGTGAAGGTGCCAAAATTGTTCTTTTATGCATCTTCTCTCTGCAGCTCCTCCAGTTCTTTATGAATACCTGATTTCTATTGAGTTGAACATCTCAGATGTTGCAGTAATAAATCAACTGAGGAGCATTCTGAGCAACATCAGTTACCCCATCAGCATCAGCAACCAACTACAAATCTCTGATGTCAACATTTCTACAGGTACATTCATAATTTTGCAGTCTAAAATGTCGTTTCCAAATGGTATAATCTGTGTTTTCAGCTCATTGTGCTGGTACATGACTTCTTTCAATTTTTTTATGATTAAACATCAAGTGGTTATTTATCAGTAAAAATATGTATTCTCTCTTTGTGTTGGTGTCCAGTTTGTTCTCCGAGCAGTGGTAGTTTCCAGTGCAGATGTGAGGATCAGTATCGTTGGCCATGTGACC